CAACTTTTATGTGTAAGGGGTCCTCCAAAATGTTCAAAATTCCAAAGTAAATATTGTCAACATTTATCATTTGAATGACATTTTGAAGTAGAAAACCATTATTTTTATTTCCCTTTTAGAAGTAGAGAAATTGTGCCTGGGTAATATTCATGAACAGATTACTTGTTGCAGCAGTTACTGAAAAAAATTTCTAAATATTGTATGTAAATATTAACAACATATAAATTAATTTTGGAAAACACTTGCAAAGAAATATTTATAGTAATTTACCGCATATTTGGAAATAATTTAAAAATATTCAGGAGAGTTAATGGCCGAGTTTTTGTTTGTTTGTTTGTTTTTATGTTGTTTTGTTTGACGTCTTGTTTCTGTCATTGATCTGCTAGAACTAGGACAACTCTGGGTAAATAGTGAAACTATGTGTATTAATATTAATGTAAAATATAATATTTAATATATACAGTTTGGAGAACATGTTTAAAGATATACTTTGTGGAAATACATGAAATAAAGGTTTAAAAATATGCTTGTGAATAATGACCACCAAATTTACAATAATGATAGTTTCTGGTCAGGGAGTATAAAGGTAGAAGAGAGATGGCTTCTTATGCATATTACATATAATATATTTTGTATATTCTATATTGTGCATTTGTAATTATATATTATATATTACATTATATATTATATAATACATTATTATATCTAGTGATGTATTACATATTGTTATATAGGCATAAATATATCTCATGTATGGTATGTTCTATATACTATATATATATTTTTAGAGGTATATATAATTATTCTAATTAGATATATAATTTTTAAAGGTGAAGCATATTATTCTCTATACATTCCTTTATATTGGAAAAATTTCTTAAAATATAAACTCATTCTTTTAAGAAAGAAAGGAGAGAAGGAAAAGAAACTCAATGATAACTCTATGCAAATGACAAAGACACAGTTTACAAATAGGAAATTAAAAGCAATTTGGTGTTCTCAGGACACACCGAGGAAGAGATGTTCCTAACAGAATTAGCGTCTGTATGGGAAAGAGCAGTTAAAGTTCAAGTTGTAATAGTTGATACTAGAAGCTCTCCATTGCGAAGTGAAAGGCATACAGTTAAATTCTTATGTTTTGGTGGTAAACCATTAAGAACAGAATTTTTGTTTAGTAGTTTTTTTCACTTTAAATTCATTCTCTAACTAGGATATTTTATAGTTTAAAAAAATAAAATGAGCTTTATAAATATTTGAGCTTTTTAAATGAACTATCAATGTTTTTATTGTATAAAAATTACTAGTGATCATATCAACAGCATATGCATTCAAATTAATTTGTTTATATATATGTATTTGTATATGCATTTATTATATCTACAAATATATACAGATATATCCTTAAATTAAACGAGACATTATTATTCCTTATTTTCTCAGCTACTTACATCTGAATTAAATGAAAAAGCTTGTAGCTCTGTTTCAGTTAGGCATGACTGATCATTTTGTAGTTTAAACCTTATTCGAATATTTAGTATATAGAGCAGGAGTAAGCTAATAGTTCTGGTTTTAAAATCAGAAATACTTTTTAGTGAAAGAAAAATGACAGTTACACTTTGCCTATATTTAAATGCTCTCCCCGATCACTAGTCAAATTAAGAAACAATCTTAAAAATGAAGGCAATATTTGGCACTCTTCATTGGAACTTTACTTGTAAGAATGGTACACACGGCCCACAGAGATCTAACAGTTTCTAACCCTCTACTTTTTTCTAACAGTGTCTGCATAGACTACACCCATGAGTGCATGAACAAATCATTTTGGGCAAAAAATAATCTCACATAATAAGCACATCTGGAACTATATCAGTTTTTACAATTATGGTTAATTCTGTACTTTGGCCAAATATTTTCAATAAGCAAAACATTCCTGGTAACTATAACTTTGTGTATTATTTAGATTGATTTTTAAAAAAATATTCTTCACAATAATATACTATCATTCTGTTTAAAATGATTGCTACATTTTGTAATATTTTTATTACCATATTTCTCAGAATCTTTGTGGTAATTTTTATAATACTATTATACTCCAAGTATTTTTTTTCTTTAAAACCAAGAAAAAGGTTTCAGGTAATGAATTTTTATAACATTCCATGAG